AAAAAATGTTATGGCACATTAATAAAATATAAATACACGTACTGATCAAGATCAATAATATTTTTATTTTGAGCTAAATAAATCTTCCCAAAATAAATCTTCGTAAATAAATCTACGTAAATAAATCTTCCTAAATAAATCTTTCTAAATAAATGTTTCTAAATAAATCTGGCTNGTTAAATAAATCATACTAAATAAATCTTCCTAAATAAATTTTGCCAAATAAATCTTCCTAAATAAATCTTGCTAAATAAATCTTCCTAAATAAATCTTTCTAAATAAATCTTCATAAATAAATCTTGCTAAATAAATGTTTCTAAATAAATCTTGGAAAATAAATCTTCCTAAATAAATCTTGCTAAATAAATCATGCTAAATAATTTTTCCTAAATAAATCATGGTAAATAAGTCTTGCTCAATAAATGTTATGGCAGATTAATAAAATACGAATACACATACTTATCATGATTAATAATATCTTTATTTTGACCTGAATAAATCTTGCTAAATAAATCTTCCTAAATAAATCTTGCTAAGTAAATCTTCCCAAATAAATCTTCCTAAATAAATCTTGTTAAATAAATCATACTAAATAAATCTTCCTAAATAAATTTTGCCAAATAAATCTTCCTAAATAAATCTTGCTAAATAAATCTTCCTAAATAAATCATGCTAAATAAATCTTCCTAAATAAATCTTCCCAAATAAATCTTACTTGCCTTTTGTAAATATTATCGCGTGAAATTTGCGGTCGAATCCGACGTCTCATGTTAAGACAATGTCGTCGTTGCGGTAGAGAGAAAAATGAAATCGAAAGGAGCATAAACAATCGTACACGATCGCCAGACGGATAAATATAATCGTCCGCCAGGTCTGGAAAGGGTAAACGAAGCGCGCGATCGTGATCAATTGGCCGCGACAGAAAGGGAACTGTGTCGATTGGTGTGATCGTTCAGTGATTCCGGAAGTCGAATATTTACGGCCGTCTCGTAAACGAGCATAGTTGCAGATAAGCACGCCGCGGTCTCGCTGAACGCGTGGGCGGCTGAGTACGCGTACTCGACGCTCGATCTATAATACTTTCATGTGTTTCGAGTTTCGATTTCCTCGGACCGCGTTTCCGCCGGAAATCAGTAGTTTACAATCGTTAATTACACAGATCTACCTACGTGCTTCGGCCGCACGGAGAAAATCATAGGGGCCGCGCTCGATCGATCGTGATTTTCCGCCACGAGGAACGCGATCGTGCTAAGTACTTTCCAATCCGCTACGATATTATACTTTCGCTCGCGTTGCGATCGGCAACGCGTCGATGTCTGCACAAAATTGAGCACTGGAGAATTTGTGGTTCGAGTCGAGTCTCCGCTAAACTTTCGATCACAAATAAATGAATTCGTTATTGTTCGATTGTTTGCTAGAAATAAATTCTGTTGAGATAACTCGTTCTCTTCTCGAAGAAACGTTCGATCTTTACAAAAGGAGGAGATCTTGACCGGTTAATATTTCACGGTGTCGCTGTCTAGATATTCTAAATATTGGGTTGGCAACTAAGTAATTGCCGATTTTAGTTATAGATGTCTCTCATTCCCTTTATTATGATATCCGTAAATGTTATATATTATAAAATTATTATTATTATTATTATTATGTTATTTTATATTATCCGTGAATGTTAGCGACTGGACAAATTGAATGCAGCGGTCAAGGAAAAGCGATCAGAATTGGTCAATCGTAAAGGTGTAATTTTCCAGCAGGACAATGTCCACTCGGCAAAAATTGATGGATATTGGTTGGGAATTGATGTTACACCCACCATATAGCCCTGATCTCGCGCCATCGGATTACCACTTATTTCGATCCCTGGACAACTCCCTTCGTGGTAAAACTTTTAATGATGACGACGCGCTGTAAAATCTCACTTAACTCAGTTTTTGGCCGAAAAGGATCAGACTTTCTACGAGCGTGGAACTTTCAAGTTGTCAGAGAGCTGGCAAAAGGTCATCGAACAAAATGGAAAATACATTACAGATTAAACTTCATTCCAAGTAAACAAAAATTTTTTATTTCATTGAACAAATCGGCAATTACTTAGTTGTCAACCCAATACTTGTTGCTTGTAGTTGAGAGAAGGTGCTGAGTAAAATTGAGCAATCAAGATTTCATAGTCGAATCGAATCTCTCGTGCAAAGTCTCGTCTAAAAATGTCTCCCGTCGTACTCAAAAACGTTACGCAATCTAAAACAATTTCACGGTATTCCATTAAACGACGCTTGCAGACGTTTATCGCGTTCTGTCGAACATCAGCGACACGACCCTTTGCGTTCGTCACTTCCGTGCGACAGACGGAGATTAATCGAAAGAACGCTCGAAATAGGCCGTTTCGTTGTTGTCGATGAGCCACCGTCGAAACGCACGATTCAATCCTATTGCACGGCGAAAGAATGTTTCGAATTAATCTCGAGCACAGTTTGTAAAGCACGCTACCATTCGTAACGGTATGAACTGGTTATCGGGCAACTTTTCCCTAAGTTGCAAGAGCTGCTAGGCGAAGTTGTTTTTCATTCCTCGAGGCAGGAGAGTTCGATGGGAATCGATCGAGCCGGCCGGGAAACGGTGATTTGCTAGAGCAGCGAAATTTCGAGACGAATATGCCGATTATTTATACACTGTTTTACAACACCGCTAACATTTACGCTAGTCTTCCTTTTTCCCTGGTCGAAACGAAGGCTGGCAATCGACGCGCTCGATCAAGGGTTCGCGTAACGCGGTCTTCGATCCGTCGACGGGCTCGAAGACCCGTTTTTCCGACGTTCTTCTATGGGACAGTCTACTTGAAATTGAAATCAACGTGTCGGCAAACGGGGACCTTGTCAACAAACCGTGAGAACTCTGAAACTGCGCGGAGCTACCATGAATGGGACAGATATTGTGGGACATTGTTATTATCTCAAAAATTACGGATCTTTTTATAATAAAATTGTACTTGTTTTTGTGACTGTATTATGCGTAATCACACGTGATTTGAATCCGATATCAGTTAATACGTAATTATGGCAGACGATTAACATGTCGCGTGCTTAAAAGTAGTGTATTTTCTCTCGTAACGTTGTACGAAGCATTGTTGCTCCCGACCGAGTTTTTATTTATTGCATTCGATCAGGCATTTCTTCAAGAGTGTCGATATACAGCATTGGATAATCTTTTTTTATCGCAGTAATTAAACATGTTAAAGTTTTGATTTGTTACCAAATTTATGAATGGGACACAGAGAATTTTTACGGATGGGACGCGGATAAATCATAAAATAAATAAACGATAAACTCTATCGATAGCAATAAACGATAAAGAAAATTTGAAACATATTAGCTATGTTTCCGAAGATAACCAACAAATAAGTCAAGATGTACTCTTGAAAAAGAAATGAAAAACGAAACAAGTGAAACGTAGATGAAACTTATTGCTGCTACGCGTTCATATAGTAAAAGAACCGATCTTTCGATTGTTTCAAACTATGATTAGGATAGGTCGTTTAATCTTTCTGCTATCTTGTCCTGAACAACGTTGTCTCGTTCATGGCAGTTCTGCCCTAATTCGTTACGCTGGGTCTATCGAGTCTGAAAATCAAACGTTGGAACCGACTCGTTGAAATTACGACAAACTAATTTACTTCGAGCTTCCCGGGTCAACTATTATCGTCTACGAATAAAACGTGGTTCTGTTTGACAGTGTCGACTGCACGCTAACGCAGTCCTGGTTCGGTATTGGTCGGACTTTTGTTTTTTTTTTCACCGGGGATGACAACGCGAGCATCCGCGCGCGATGTCCCGGATACCGTTTGAACAAGTTTTGGTCTGGCGCGAGCTATCAGAAGTCGTTCCTCGGGGTCTGCCAATCATCGCAAACGCGAGCATGCAAACACGTGTTGTACCGCGAATTGACAAGTTGAAAATCATCCTCCGACTAACAGCATCCGCCGCGTCGGCGCTTACGGTTATTGATAATGTTCGTTAACGAGCCACCGTGGATGGTCAATCTCCGTAAACACCATCGGTCCGACTGTTGTACAAGCGGCTACAGTCAGCTGTTCGGTCGCTGGAAAACAGAGACTCGCAACACGCTTCTGTTAATCTCCGTTCCGTTTACATTGGTTTTTCGTGATCCTTTGCTTTGGGTCTCCATCGATTCCTCGTTTCAACGATCTTTATTACGGAACGTTATTTTCACCGTTTCAATATTAGAGATCCGTTGGCCTCCGCTACGAGGATCGACGGAGAAACATCAACCGGAACTCGTGTCAACGTAATGCTTCATAAACCGACGATTTGCAACGGTAGTAATTAAGACCGCGGATCTCACGCATTCGCGATAATTATAAATCGGAGAGAATAACGAACTTCGAAGACCTTGGAAAATTCTAAGGACGTGTCCTACATTCTTCTCAATTTATTAGAACGATCGTCAAAAGAAACGCTTCTCCTATTTGACTCGAGTTTCGATGACTCTGCCTCGTAAATTTGTATTTTCCGCGAAGATCCGCAGTCTACCAACACAATGCGCGTACCATTGTTCCTGTAATAATGTGTAGAAAAATAATATAACATCTAATATATTATTTAGAATTATACTATACAACTAGCAGTCTATCCAATGATAATAATAATAATAATTTTCTTCGACACTCAAGATACACAAAGAAAGATCTTATGATCGATGCCGCCGCACATCTTCGCGCCGTTCAGAAGTATACGAACGGGACCAAAATGTGCAGAGCAGTTTATTCGAGTGTCTCGCGTGTTCCAAACATTTAGCGAACAATTGTAAGCATCGGACGATTCGCGAACCGTTGGAGAAGTTCGTTTCGAATCGGCGACGATCGCCCAAAGAGAAGCTCACGAAGCCCCGTACGACGTTCTCCGAACAATAAAACGACCACGAAGGACTCGACGGTCGTTAAAGGAAAATCCAGCTGGCCGTTCCGTTCCGTTCCGTTCCGTTTGTTAATCAGGACTATGGTAGAGAGGTGTCCTGGGGTTCTGCGATTCCTCGACTGCGGTCCAATTTTCGGTGAAACAGTCGGCCTGGTTTGTGCGCGATCACGTGAACGTCCCGTCCTTGCGGAAGCACCGGCACCAGCCGCGAAAGCCATCCTCCAATTATCCTAAGAAGCCCGTTACCGGCCTCTTAAAACAGGATGCAGGCCGAGCCTTGCATCACCTCCGAGATGAACATCGGCGTCCCGGCGCCGAGGCCGCCGTCAGTCTTCTGGTTCTCGTTCTTGTCGTACTCGCAGTCGAAGTAACGACTCTGCAACGTTCGTTTCACAATGCGTTTCTTAACTAATCTGCCGCCTCGAGGACCGCCATTACGTTCCAATTAGAGCCAATTACTTTTACAACAACTAGGAGTCTCTCGGTACGCGCTTGTCGCTAAAGTTACATACTGGCGATCGTTTTATGCACGGTCCAGGGAATGAAATCTTTTTTGATTTGTTGTTATTCGACCGCGGATCTTATATTTAAAACCGCGAACAAAATTACCACGCGAAACTTTGAAGAATGATAGACAAATTTATGAAGATCGTTACATCATTACCGAATTATTCGAATTAGCGAAACGGAAAATTCACTTTTTACTTCGTTTCTGTTCCGCAGAATTGATTTGCAACATTTTTTTTAATTTAAAGATCTGCAATTTGTTTATGATAATAAAGAAATATTTTGTAGCTACCGAGATTATTTTGTCGAAAATGTTTCGCTATCGTAACAATTATTTCGAAATTATTAAAGCTGTTATAAAAGAAAATTAATTTTCACGTCATTTCTGTTCCCTGGAATTAACTTAACACATTTTTATTTTGCACAAAGATCCGCGATCTAGTTATGCCAATGAAAAAATATTTTCTAGCTACCGAGATTAATTTGTCGAAAATGTTTTCCTATTGTAACAATATTTTTGAGTTTACGGCTAATATTAATGAAAGGGTCAGTTAGTCGTTGGAATCAATTTTTTCTTCGTCTCTTGTCTTGCGTAACAATGATTAAAAATGCGAGTATTTTTACAAAGCATTGTAGAATGAAACCCAATTGGTGGATCATTCGTGAACACTTTTTAGAGGAAAATATGGACGTACCTGGCAATCTAAGCACCTGCAATGGTCGCTCATCTTGCAAGTGATGCCCCACTGTTTGGCCATTGCCCTGTAGAACTCCTTGCTCGATTTGTGGAGAATCGGCCCTTTCGTCTTGTTGTCTTCCTCGGCGAGCTCGGCGACGTTGTTTTTGTCGGTCTCGTGCTTCTGCGCCTCGGCGGCGTGCTCCAATCGCGTCTAAAATCGTAACAGGACGTGACACGGGTTCCCGAACAGTCTTATCTCGCGCGCACCCGAGTTACTTCGCTACAGGTCAATTAAAGTTGCTCGATCTCTAGCCCGCCTACACCATTTTGCATCGTCAATTATGTTCTAAACCACCTACCCGGCGCAAAGTGCATTACTTCCTGAACCATGATACATCGCGCTCATAAAATTTTCACTTGGATCTACTCAGCTGCTCTGGCGTTAAGCAAAAATTGTTTTCGAACTTCTGTAAATTGTTCTCAGCAGTAGAACGTGCATTCATCTCAATCCGAAGTGTTCTCTCGCACTAACAACCAGCGTAGCATTTTTTTCTCAATCGTTAATTTGAGCGTATATCTGTTGCATAGTAGATTCTCCGCTCAAGGTCGTGCCCCACCACGTACGGCCACGCCCACTGGCACCGCCCACAGTCGATCTGACACGCCCATTACGCTTCGAACACGATCTTTCAACGGATCAGGAAACTTTTCCACAAAAATAAACATTGCTACGCGGTGATTCGAGCCTGGAGCCAGCTGGCAACGTTAAAAATCGACTAATTTTCACCTGTCCGCGAGAACAACATTTCATCGAACTACAGATAGAAAAAGAGAGAGAGAGAGAGAAGGAGGGATTACGAACGAGATTGCTCGTTTCGAGGCAGGTGATCAAAGCGAGCGGGACCCCGCTTGTTATTGTAGCCCGGCCGGTGGAAAAGGATAATTCTTTATTCCGTGACGATAACCCAGATCCTCACCTGTTCGATAACGTGCTCGTACGAGGGGGGCGGCGAGCTCGGAATGGCCGGCTCATTCCTCACCATCAGGCTGTTCGAATCAAACACTGGTGACTTTAAATTGGATTCCGGCTCGGTGGCCAATTGCAATTGGTTCACGGATAGTTGAACGTTCTCCCCCTTGGCGTTGTCCTCCGCGTCGTTCCTGTCTTTGTGGTTGTCTTTCGCCAACTCCCGCTCGTTCTCCGCCTCGTCCTCGCCCTCCTTCTCGTTCTCCTTGTCCTTCTCCGTCTCGCTGTCGGGCTCCTTCTCCTTCTCCTTCTCGCGGTCCTTCTCGTCGCTGCTGCGCGACTTCGACATCTTCGAGAACGGGAACTTGAACGGCGCCAGTTTGATCAGCTTCTGTTTGCCTCGTTCGTCTGCAATTAACGTGATTTCGTCTACTAGTCAGTGTCAGCCGAGACATCGGTCGGATATCATTTTCAGGAAAGCCGTCGCGACAGTTCGCGAGCAGCGAAAAGTCCGCGGAAGAGGCGCGGCGCTGTTCGATTCGCTTGATGTTTAGGGTAAGCAGGATCCACCCTTTTGGAAATAATTCGAGTAACGCGGATGCCGGCTTTAGGCGTAATTGGGGCTTAGGAAAGAGCGAATCGGAAAGCTTCCGGGGCAATTTGTCCACGAAATTGTTCTGTTCTGTTCCGCAGATCCTATACAAACAGCCCTCGTTACATCCATCCGACGATTCTAACTCGAATGAATGATTTTGTTTCGCGAACTGACGGTTCAGGATTTTTGTTCCAGAGGAATGGACGTCCGATTCTTATCGCCGAGCAGGAAAGTAATTTGTTAAGTAAGAAAATCTTTCGGTGCCCGCGCAAGAAACTGATGGAAAAGGAAAAGGAAGAAAGCTGAAAGGGGATGAAGGATGCGCAAGGTTCGTTTCTACGGTAAGAATGGTTATCCATCAATGTTTACAGGTTTATCGGGCTTAATTGCGGCCGCAAGAACCGCCCCTTGCACCGTGCAATAATACGAGATGCCTTGTTACGAAGATTCCCCGGGAAGAAGGGGGGAAAAGAAATAAAGAGTTCAGCTCCGAGGAGGTAATGAGGGATGAAAGAAGTAATTCGTTCCCGAGGAGAGCAGATGTGTCACTCAATGCTGAGAGAGGTTTACCGTAGCAATAGGAAATTTTCTTCTTACAACAGACTGTGTGTTGCTTTGGTGGCCTCGCAAGAACACAGAATCTACGTTCCATTAAATTCTCGGGCAAAAGGAAACTTAATCAGAGGTTCAGCCGCGATGTTAAGGGAAGCGAAATTGGCTTCAAACGTTGCCTGCAAAAGTTGGTTCGGCGTAAAATTCCAGCAATGCGAGAATTATTAACGATTTGCTACCTCAACCCCGTTCAGCTGGTTATTGATTATAATATTTCAATACTCTCTTTTTTTATGATAACTTCATCTTCATACCGTTTCCTTCACTGCCAATCATAATCTGTTCTTGCATGCCTTTTAAACTAAATATTGTCATAACAGCAGCGAAATTATTACGAAGTTCTCGAGCAAAAGGAAACATGATCACAAGTTTAGCAAATCTGACAAGGGATGAAATTACAAAATACCTCAAATTAAAACTGTGCTGACTCAAAGCAGGTCGTAAAGAGTCCCTTAAAAATAGATTCGTTGCAAAATTCCTCCGAAGCAAGAACGATTAGAAAATTCTAAAGCGACGATACACGCGATCAGCGGTTTAGCCGAGGCGTTAAGGGATGAAAGTTGCTAAACGCTTGTAACGACGCGGCCTTGAAGCAAGTCGGAAACGGCCGCACAAAAATTGGCTTGTCGCAAAATTCCTCCGGAGCGAGAAGAAGCGATCCCGGTGCCGGCGGAGGGAAAGCGCGAGGGGTTGAAAGTAGTTCATTCCCACGAAAAGGTGTGTCCCTGGGTGCAGGCGCACCGGGCTTCATCTGTCGTTGACCCAGTGGCCGAGTTCCGTGTTATCGGTCGACCTGGCGCAGCTGCGGCTGACTTTAAAGCCCGCCGACTCCTCCAGCAGGTCTTAGCTGGCCGGCGAACGCGATCCACCCCCGCGTTCGTCGATCTCGAACTGGAATTAGCGTCGCCGTTAATCCGGAGTTCATCGTCGACGATCGATATCGACGTGTTCGCCGCCGATACCGGAACCCGTAGCCGGGGACGCGACCTATCTCGATCTGTACGACCCTCGCCCCTGCTCGCGGCCCGGCCCTCCTCCCCCGCGCCGACCCCGTTCACCCCTGTGTCTTAATTGTTTTGGATATCTGCCGATGATTTCGGCGAGTTTCGGTACACCGGACACGTCGATGCGGGACGCGGAATGTAAAATCGAGACGACACGCTCGCTCAATGGGGCGGCTGGCTCGGCGACGGGGGTGGTACAGGGGCGTTTGAACTACATTTTCGGTCGCTGGAGCGATTATTGGGAAACTGGGACGGCGGACACCATATTTAAAGCGATATCCCCATTCGTAGATGGAAAAACGCGGCTCTCACGACGTCGACAGCGGTTCATCCCCTTTCGGTCCAAGCGAATTGGCTAAACTTTCGGGTTTACTAGATTTTCCAAACCGTTTTAACCCTGGACAGGCCGAACAGGAGCCAAGCTTTGGCGTTTAACAGATTTTCAGGTCACTTTAACCCCATCGTGTGAATCGGTGTTACAGTAATTTCTCCCTAATTCGCGCTCAGATTGCGCACATAAATGGATTTAGGAAGAGAAGATGCGATTATTCGAGCCTTGCGGCTCGTTCTCATAATTACCGATTGTCAATAACTATGGAAAAGAGACGCAAGGCTCGAATAATCGTATCTCCTCTTCCCAAATTGTCCATTTTTGTGCGCAATCTGTGAGCGCGAATTAGGGAAAAATTACTGTATTGTACACGAATAACACGGACGACATTTTCATTTGTGTGCAATCTTGAGAAACGTTTTGAAAAACTGAGCCTCCGCGAAGACAGTAGTGTTTCAACCATTTTCGTCTCACAAAAATATACAAGCAAGTTCGATACTTTAGCGTTCAACACACTTTCAAACCGTTTTTACATCGATCATGCGATTCAGTGGTTTGAACCCGCATCCGATTTTAAGGAACGTTGTTGAAGGGATTGGATTTTAGCCTGTCGTTGGCAGAATGAATGAAACTCGCGGTGACACCTGTCCGCCGCTTCTGAGAAAATCAAAGTGAAGTTTACACGAGTCGGTGCTTCGGGAGCAGATCGGATCCCGACGAATTTGCGAATAATTTGCCGGCGCAATGGCGCGCCCCGCTTAATTCCCAACATTTAGGCAGGCCCCGCGATGTTAAATTGTAAATTACGTTCTTTATAGGTCAAATCCGGCAAACGCGTTTTGCAGAAAAGCATCTTCTAATTAAGCTTCGCGTTTCTGAAGCAGCTACTTTATTCGAAGCGAAACGAAAATACATGGCGAATTACGTGACGGACGCTTCTCAATTATAACTTCCTGCGCTTCTGTTCGCACTGCTTCTCTCTCGTTAATCGATCCTTCGAGAACTTGAAAATTCGAGAAAAAGCGAGCGGGACGAGAGTTTTAACGCGTCGAGGGCCGCGTCGGTCACATATGGGCGACGCTAATTTTTTAACCGAGTTTTGAGATTTCATTTTTATCGGAATATATTCAACGAAACGTAATTAACTAGGATTTTTAGAATGCAGAAGAGTTGAACAGTTGCTATGACAAATTTTGAGGTTTCTTTTATCGGTTTCATTAATTAAAAGCAGGGCTGGGTAAAAATAGATTTTTGAGACAGTAAATACGCTGTAAATATTATAATCTTCTCGCGTGATACGGGATTTGGCAAATAAATCTTTTCTGAAATAATAGTCACATATGGAAATAGCATTTCAAATATATTTAACTATTTATAACTATAACTTATAACTATATTTGACATCCATACGTAGCTACTATTTCAAAAAAAGTTTATTCGCCAAAAATTCTGTATTATACAAGAAAATTAAAATATTTACAGCCTATTTACTATTTCAAAAATCTATTTCATCCAAGCCTTAATCAAATGCCTTTGATATTGTAGAAATTTTCGGGGTTGATATTCGGCATCGTGTTAACACTTTATCGTCCGGTCGTGGTTGAGGCTGCCACTCAGTAAGGACTGGCTTAGTCGCGCGCGCATTTGCTCCCAGTACCGGCTAAATTTTCGCTATTCATTGTGTTGTGCTTATTCCTTTAAAAATAATAATAAATAATAATAATTATTATAATTATAATTCATAAGGATATGGGGAGGTCAGCATACAGGAGGTCAGCTACTAACAAAACAGTAAAGAAGCGAAAACCGTCGATAGCTAAAAGTCGATTAATAGGCTATCGGTCGATAAGCATTGGCAATCGAAAAGCCGATTAATAGGCTAGCGGTCGATAAAGTGTTAACAAGCGACGTCGCTCACCTCAAGAAAGCCTAAAAAATTGATCCGACGCCGATCTGGTTGCTTGTAACCACTGCGGATCTCCCACAGAACGATCCGCGGCTCAAAAATAACGCGTTCAAATTCGAGGAAACGCAAATATTTAAGCCCGACGAGTCACGCGAAGGCAACAACGCACCGCCGGATGTTGCGGCAGCAGTTTGTGGACAGTTTTTGATACACAAGCGCGGCCCGCGGAGCCGGCTAACAGCGGCCAGGAGTTAGTGTCAACACGAAAACTCATACAGGAGACAAACACGGGTTACCACGGAGTACCGGAAGATATTTCGCGGGCCAGGAATCAAGCGAAAGTCAAGCAACGGCGTAGAATCCAGTCGTTAGGCGGGGCTCGCGGCGCGCACGCCGGACAAACATTTGCTCGCCGAAGCTTGAAGTGGCATTAGCGCCGGCAAACAGGGAACAACGATCTCTCGGAACAATGGGTTCGAGGATCCCGAAATCATTTTCCCGGGAAAAAGCGAACGGCGTTGTTTTTCGGACGGCGGAAATGAAAATTCTTCGCCGGTGAACGCCGAGGTGGAATCGGCGCGAGGGTGGCGCTGAAAGCGGCAGCTTTAACACTAGATTTACGGAACCCGTCAAAATGACGGGTCACTAATTTTTTAATTTATGAGTTATTTATGCAATTTATCTGTTACTTACGGCAAATGTTAACGCTCGTTAAAAATCAGAATAAATGTCTTATCGTTACTTTTATAAACTAATATTAAACAGCTGCTTTTTTGTGCTCCGTAAATCTGATGTTAATCCTGCGGCTCGCATTCTTTCCCGAGGCGATGCCATTCGTTCGTTGAGAGCATGATTAAGCGAGTTACAAAAATCGAATCACGTGATTTAATTTTCTTAAGGTATCAAGGCAGAGTGCGGAAAGTCGTGTGTGAATATAAGGGCGAGATATGTACAAAGTAT